CTATACTGATATATATATTGTATATCAATATGTATTAAAAATAAAATCACATAGTATCACAAAAATATCTTATATAATTTTGTTCTTAAGTATAATATCCTTAAATGTAAATAATATCGTCCTTAAGTGTTTTTCAGCAATAAGACTTATGTTCTTTAATTGTTAAAAAATGAAAACTTATATTTTGTAACATATTACATATATTATCACCTATGATAATATCTGATATCTAATAAAAACTGACGGTATAACAAAATTAAACTATTGTTTCTTCACCAATATAAAGAAAAGTTTTTCTTTTTAAATAATCACACCTCTGCTAATCACAGACAAGTTTTCTTAGAAACATAACATTTTAACAATCCTTATAAAGAAAAATTATCTTCTTTTGTATTATCTTCTTTTGACAACTTATACCACGTATTACTTCTCAAGTACCTTACTTAAAATGTCAAGCAGTTTATCTTGTCGTGCCATTGCTTCTTCATGCATCTTTTTTCGTATAGTTATATTTTCTTCAAACATTTGTTCCAATACAGTACGTCTTTTTCCTATAATTGTAATATTTTGCAATAAACAATGATACATTGAATACATAACAGTATTAATATTGTTTCTTATACAATAATCTCAATGACGTATTACAAATTCTACAACATATCCATATTGTTACACAAGCGCGCGCGCGCACACACACACACACACATACAATATACTTACGTTTAATAGGCAATTCTGTTTTTGTTGCGGATAGGACATTATTTTCATCATGTTCCTCAGAAAAAACTGGAATTGGATTAGCAGTATCTAACGTAGAAACTGGAGCCATCCATGGTTTTTTGTTGAACATTTCATCCATAAGCTATTAATATTAGTAATATTAAATAAGTACAATAGTAAAAGTAATATTAAACAAAAAATAATATTAAAAATATATTTAGATGAGGCTACTGCTCTAAATTGGAAGAATGTATAAACTGTAAAAAAATATATAGCAGTTGCTGTGTCACTCGCATGCGACAAATATTTACTTATTACATTAAAAAGTAATTATAGGACACCTAATAATTTTATTAAAAGCATAAAAATACGTGTTGAATAAAATACATTGTACATACTTACATCAAAATATCGCCATGTCCGGGTGTTATTACCGCTCTTTGCATTGTGATCTTTGACATTTTTATAAGTATTTTTCAATCCAGCCATTTTACTTTTGCATTGAGTACCAGTAATATGGTGACCTTTTTCGATTAAGAGACTTGATATCATATTCCAAAACTTTTTGACAGACACTTTACCAGATGTCATTTTATCTTCATGTTCTTTGTAAATTGTTAACAGTAATAAGATCACTTCATGAGCCCAACGAAAGCTATCTGTAAAATAATGTAATTATATTTATATTTATTCTGTTTACATATATGTTTCAATAAATTTATTTCCATTAAAAAATAAAGAAATAACATATCTTACCTTTTTCCTCAAAGTCAGAACTTTCTTGGGCTTTCTCCTTATCATGTATATTATATTTATCATCGGAAGAAGACGTAGAAGTAGAACATTCTATAAATATATGTATAGATATATTTCTAGTTTCAGCAATAAACTATGCTGTGTAACTAATGCTTATGCATGTATGATATTGTAATATATTATATATAGTTATCATTACCTGGTTCATTAACTTTCCCAGTTTGGTTAGCATTTAATTTTTCTTGTAAAAGACGCGTTGCGAACAGCATATCTGTTTAAGAGGAAACAAGATATAAATATTAAAATTTTTTTCTTAAAATTGCATAATAGCTATATATATTTTTATAAAGTCTTTAACATACTTTCAACCAAAATTTTATCTCCCGTACTTGAATTCTGTAATTTATTACGCAGTACCGTTGTCGTTATATTGTGTAGGTATGTACCTATTATATATAATATATAGGAAAAAAGCTGCGTGCAACGCAATATAATGACAACGACACATAACGAATTATAAAATCCAGCTACCGATCTTTTAAAAACGATACAATGATACTGATATAGGTTATGTAGTTTTTACCTTTATTAGCTCTCGCATATTCCTCCTCCGATACTTGTAAAATATAGGTTTTTTGAGATATTTCATCAAATAAAGTTAGATTAGGCATTTTTTTCACCAATTTTCGATAATTTGCACTACACATTCGCTACACACAC